TTCACAATGACTACAGCTTTTTTTTTTTATGTCTGCCGTAGCATGTGAATTTATGGAAAGTAAAATGCAATGCAGTCTCACTTTGAATAAAGTCCTCTGTGAAAAAAATGCACATTTGTCACTGTATGTAATATCCTGCTATCTAGAATAAAAAAAGAAACTTTTCAGAAGGCAATACAATGATGAATACAATGACGCAAAAAATGATCTAACAGGTAACTAAAGCAATTAGAAAAGTTAACTCACAGAATAAATCCCAGTAAATTATAGAGCAGAAATAAACTCTACAACTGAATGTTCATTTTCTTTCATTCTCTTAGTTCATTCCAATAAAATAATGCATTTGTAATCCTCTGTAACACATAAGATTGCTGGAAACTGTGGCTTAACTAACATTTTCCTTGTGATTAATCCCTACATTAGTGGTCTTGAACTTGTACTCTAAATAATAAGCTTTCAATCACTATCATGGACTGTGAATTTTGTTGTAGTGCATTTAAAGTAATGAATAATTAACGTACTTGTTCTGGAATAAACTTCTGCTCATGAAGAGATTCAAAACTAACAGCTGAACAAATAAGGAAGAAATCCTTAACTTTCAGTTTGGCATGCCCCTTTGCATGGAAATGTGAGAAATAAAAAAGTGAAGACAAACTTATACAAGACAAATACAATTAAGGAAATCTGATGAGAGACTTTTTTGGACAGAAGGTCTCCAGAAGATTCAAAACAGACTGTCTAGAAAACACTTTCTGTCAAAAGCAGAATTAAAGTGACCCCTGTGTGCAGCTAAGCATGCAATCCTTTATACAGTATAAATTATCATCTTAAACTTGATACATACGTTTGTAACACCAGAATTACAGATGTCACACACCTTTAAAAGATTTTTTATTTATAGTATGATTGAATAACTCATGTTGTAGTCAATCTAATAGTTAATTTTCCTCCATAGTTTTTTTATTTAGTAAATATGACACTGCATATATTTTCTTTTTTCCCTTTCCTTCTCCTCATCTTCCCTGTCTGCCTTGATACAGTGACTGTATGTGCAGCACATTAGACTGCTTGAAAAGTGAGACTATACTTAGAAAATTAAGTACTTTTACATTTAGCTTATTTCCTAGTAAATATATGCATTACATAGAAATACTACATACATTCTTGATAATTTGATTTGTAGATTTATGTCTTTTGAATAACTTATAACCAGCATTCAAATCTATGTTTTCAACAAATTCTATTTTCTATTTTTTCAAATAACATGACCTTCATCTTTTATACCCTCTCTGTAATGCCGAAGTCATAATTTTGCCTTAGTTACTGCAAATCAAATGAAATTGAAAATTCTAACTTAACTGACAATACAGCAGAAAAACTCAATACACAAAACTACAAAAGAATGTATTACAATATGCTTGCTCTAAATTGTTAGATGAAGAAATCAAATGTTTTTCAGAGATTTCTTTAACCTGACTTTGGCCCATACAAGAACGATACTCTAACTCTATTCTGCTTTTCTCAAACCTACTACTGAGATGTCAATTTTATCTAATGCACTACATTCCAAAATATAACCAAAGCATATCTTAAAGCAAACAACAGATACTGTATTTAATTTTTTTTTAATAGCAGCAGTTGAAAACTGGATTATTTTTAGAGAAGAGGCCACTTCTTTAGAAGTGCAGTAATTTAGAAGTCCTCCCTTGAAAGTTTTTAAACTGGATTAGCTTGTGGATTCTTCTTTAAAAAACTATTCTATACATTAAAATTACTTAAGTTCATCTTAATTTGTCATTTTACCAAAGCAGATTATACAGTAATACTGTGCTAGAAGCACTTCATCTGTACAATGCCCAATATGGAGGGCAGGTTCTCCCTATCACATATTCAGCCACCTGAAAGACACTTCTTAATCTATGTTTCTACTAAATATGGTGACATTCTAAAGAGAACTATTGGGGAGCTATTTTTAAAGATTTGCATCAGTGAATTACAGCCTCATTAAAACAAAAAAAAGAACAAAACCAAAACAGGAGGTACTTACAAATAAAGCAATTCCTCTGCAAGATCTAGCATTCTAAGCAGTTCATGCAAGACTGTAATTAAGCACTCAGGAAACCTTTTAAATGTCTACTATATATGACTTCAAGAGATTCAAAAAATGAAAATAGAAGCATCATATCTAAATGCTTTCTGAAACAAGCAGCAGAGGTCAGCTCTAAAAACAAACTGAACCTTTATTTTCTGAATTCCTTGGAAAATTTATCTCTTCTCTCTTTTTAAAAAGTGCTATGTCTTCATGCCTCCCCCATATCAAACCTACCTGTGTCAAATACAAAGTATTTTAACACCTCCATCGTTTACTGCTTTTCCTCTCAAAACTCAATGAGGTCGTTTGAGTAAAAAGATACTCAAAACCCATACTTTCCTGTAATTACAGCTATAGCTCTCTCATTTATTTATAATGACAGTTACAGATCCAACTTTGCTTCATTTGAGTATGTGGTTTCAATTAACTTTTCACTGTCAGCTGTAAATCTTGAGTATGCCACTAATTATTCTTTATTTATTTACAAAATAAATTCACTGTAATTTCTAAAAAAAAAAAAAAACAAACCCAAAAAAAGCCATCACATAAGGACCAGAAGAATTATCTTTTCTAGTGGATAAAACCACAAAATCTAAACTTTCAGTTCTAGTGCATGCTGTTATATTGAAAGAGCCTATCTATATTATCTGACATCTCTGATTTAATAAGCACTATATCTTGACATGTCTATGATATATATATCTGCTAAACTATTAGCATAAATAAAAGCAACATGTTTTAGACAAAAGCTTGTAATTAATTTTGGGCTTTATTAACAGATAGTGCAAAACAAACAGATATTGAAAAAAAATACTTTGTTTTCCCTACTTAACATTTCTTGCTTGCAAGGAGTCCTATAACCTAGCATTTAAAACACTATTTCTACCATCACAAAGGAATCCTGCATGATAGAACAGGGAGGAAAAAGCACCAGGGCAGGCCAAGTGTCACTTGCATCACTTTGTGACAATGCAATAGAAAAGAAGCTTCTGAAAACTTTCTCTGACATAGGAACGTTCTATGGATCACTCCCCTACACATCTCACACTGCAGAGTTAACATAATTTAGTAATTATCAAAATTAAGCTTCCACAGCTCTTTAGAAGTAGTGGTAATCTAAACTAGATAAAGTTGAAGCTATTTATAGGAATTATCTGAAGAAAAGCAAGTTTTAAATTTAATTATTAAAAAAATATGAAAAATAAGATCTAAGGAAATATTTTTCAGAGAATTATGAACAGAGGATTCATAATTCTCCTATGAACAAACTCCTTCTCCTATGCAGGAGTACTGTTCAGTTTCTTGGCTTCATAATGAGAGTGATTTTTAAGAAAATCTGTTGGGTTTTGGCATGGAATATGTTTATTTCTGGCCCATCTAAATTACTACTAAAATCTTTTCCTGTAGTAAACAAGACATAACAGTAATTTTCTACCATTATTTTTTAATCACAACTTAAATATACAGATCCTCATGACATTTTCTCATCTTATAATTTATGTCTTCCAGTGTGGTATTTTTAACATTTCCAAAAAACAGCCTGAAGAAAAAAAACTAATTCACTGCCTTTTTCACAGTAAAACACAGTGTTTTACCAGGATTCCTTCCCACAACAAAACATTCTTCCTGTATATTTTATTTCTTGCAAACTATAGGGCTTAAGAAAGCCCTTTATCTTGTCATGGGCAGATAAAAACCTGCTGCCACCAGTCCTCATCAGTGTAACTGCATGAGCAATCCCTGTAACACCCCCCTCTGTTTCACAGTCTGGTTCTGAGCACAATCTAGTATTACCCAGCAGTAGTGGCTTGTCTATATATGAGAGTCACAGTTACTGATGAGCTTGTACAGGCACTCTGCCTCCAATTTGGAAATACAAATACACTCTGGCACACAACCTTGAAATTTTATCAACTTCTATGGTAAATCATATGTTGTAGTTGATACTAAAACCAGCTATTCTGAGTATGTACAAGGCATCTGTACCTGTGACACATCCTAATTATGTGTTGCTTGCCTATGTCATCAGTGACTGATCTTTCTTATAACTCTGACTCCCAGAAACAAACTAAAAGCCTTATTTTGGAGTATTCCTTCCAGTTAAAAGCAACAATTATATCTGACCTAAAGAGAAGAACTTGTCTAAAAAAATCTCATTGAAGCATATAGTACCTAAGTACAATACACTTTTTAAAATCTGAACTTATAAGATCATCTTAATGAAATCTCTGTAGATGCATTTAAAACCCACTTTCTGATTGATAAGGTCCATGATTCTTTCAAGAATTATGAACAGTTTTTTACAGCTTTGCAAAGATACTACAATGTGAGCTATAAAAAATCTGCAGAAGTTGTGGTCAATGGTAGCTATTTAATAGCAGCTATTCTATACTTTAATTAGATTTCTGCACCTATTAAAACATCATTCAGTGGTCTTTTTTTCATTTCTGTTTCAGATAAGAAACACAATTATCAAAACCTTTCATGATCTGCATTAATGGAGGTAGTATTAATACCTTTTTAAAAACATAAATTCATCACAATCCACATTTCAGCTCATAAAATTGTTGATTATTTTAATTTAATTACTTTTAGGATGCTCATGTAGCTTTAATATCATTAAAATGTTGTTTTATCTTTCTGACCTGCTCTAAAACATTGACAATTCACCCTAATGAGAGCAAATTAATCCTAGTGTGTCAGAAAACCAGATTATCTTAGTTTATAAATGGAAATATTCTTGGCAGATCAATAAGTGAATAAGTCAGTATTTCTGATGTAGTACTACTACGAAATAAGGGGGGGAAATTTATTGTGTTTTCAATAAATAATTTCATTTTAATCATGACGAAGTGATAAAGCTGGGAGTTTTAACTCCTCATAAGATCAGAGTATCAAACCAACCTACCTGACTAGATTTTCATTGTCTCCAGTGCCTTTGCAGGTAGCACACTCAGTCCTTAAATCCTCTGACTTGGGCTTCTTTTGCAGCACAGACTGTCGTTGCCTTCTTTCTCTGGGAATACGTTCCTGTCACAGCAGAAGGCAAAAAGAAAGGAATGGGGGGGAAAGGAGGGAAGGAAAGCAAATATTTTCAATTATGGCATGGAAAGTAACACTTCAGCCTAAAGTTTAATTTTTTGTGAAATTGTTAAAAAAACAAACAAACAAAGCACTATATTCCAACCTCAGGTTTTTCTTCTTCAGGCACAAAGCTTCGTTTCCGTCCTCTAGTTCTCTAGAAGAGAATATATTTAAAATTCAATGTTGGGTAACAGAATGTTTTTGCTATTTATCTATTATTCCTAACACCAAAAACATATAGCAGGAAATAACTTCAATCATTACCTACAGAATTATTGCCAGTACTGGGACAACAGCTTCACATTTTGAATATAAATCTACAGAACTAGCCAGAAAGTAAATATAAATACTTGAGTATGTTAAGTCTTATTTTTAAAAAGACTGCCACTAGAATTAAAAATCTTTTACAGACTTTGCACAAACTTCCCAAAACTAGTAATTTCAAAATTGGTATAAACAGTGTATTAAAAAAACTCATTGAGCACTAAAATGTGCTCTATTTATAAGCCAAATGGTAAGACTAAAAGAAAATAAATTAAAGAATTTTACCAAAACAGGAGCACAAAATAACTCAAAAAATTTGAAGAGTAATAAGAATTAAAACTTTCTAACTGAAGCTTTGTATAATGGGTATATGGCAAATGCTCATAAAGCTGTAGCATATACCAACATGTGACTGGTACACAACAGGTGTTTCTGATGATTCTACACAAGAACTACAAATTTTTTCAGTATTGTTGTTGGCCAAAAAAGTTTAAATTCCAAGAATGTGGAGGACAATGGGTATCCATGGACTGTACCAGTGAGTACCTAAGGTTTCCAACCACTTTTTAAGTTACTACATAAAACTTGCAAGAGTTCAGGTTAAGTCACTACATTTTATCTTTGAAAAAACAGCATTACTAACCTGCTTGTGATATATAACTGCCACAAGCTGACAATATCACCCTTTCCTTCTTGTATAAAAAGGAAAGTTTATTAAAAGGGATGTGGAAGAAAATAAGAAACATCAGAGACTATTCCAGTAACCCAAAATATCTGACATACAGACACTAATAACATAAATACATAAAAACCATGGAAATGTTTGTTTTTATGGGAAAAAATCACCACATTAGGAAGTAATTTATCATATGATAAAGAAAAGCACTGCCTACTTTATGGTTCTTAAAACATTTTTTGAAGAAGCAGGTGTTCACTTCCAAAAAAGTAAACAACAGCTCATCAAAAAACTCTTAGACCAGTTTAGAGGCACAGGCAATCATAAACTCAATTCCAAAGAAGTTAACAGTATAATGCTTCTCTTGTTTTGGTCCTCTTTGAAAGTGATTTATACTAGCTTCAAATTAAAGAATTCTCTATTTTAAACTGTTTTAGAGATTTAAATACTGCTACACTGCAAATAAACCTGCCACTTCAACACATCTATACCTTTATACTTCTGCTGATACTGATCTGTGTATGTTAATAACATTCTGTTTGGGAAGATTTTTAGACATTATTTAACACTGTAGTAGCAATGAATGTAGTGGAATGGAAAATGCTAGTCTATTTCATAGCTCTTTAGAATACTTTGTCACAAGGATTCTCTTTCACATTTCCCTAAGGATGATTTATAAAAACAGGAAAACCTTATCCATTTAATACATATCAATATTTACTAAAGATTTACTAATTGAGGTGTTCTACATTCCACAAGTCACAGAGTAGTGCCAAAATTTGGAAAAAATTATTTACTACATATAACTGAATTTATCAACGTAATATTAGAGTTATTAATGTAACATGGGCTATGTGTTAACTATGTTACACAATTCAAGGTCACTGCAAGTTGAAACTAAACAAAAAAAATTTTGATCAGACACCAGCAAACTAATTGCCAATTTTACTACTTTCAGCCTCTGGAATTAGTCCTAAGAGCAAACTTGGACAATTTTAAGCTATGGAGGCCCTCCTGAATGCAGCTGTGCAAAGATTATACAGAAGTAGGTATAATGGTGCATGCTAATAAAGGCAGCATTAGGGTCCTCACTCTTCATATTTAAGCAGCAAGAGACAAAGGGTGCATGCCTTGCACCATCAGAGTAATGCTATCTTGAAAACTTATATATAATTTGGAAATCTAGGTAATAATCTGCAGAAGGTAGAAATGCTGTAAAACTTCTACCATTTGGGACAGACAACTCAGTACAGGTCAAAACAGAGAAAGGTGTAGATTAGAGACATATAACCCAGACATGGCAACTGTGACAAGATGACACTTCAGAACAAGAACACTAATCTCCAAAAAAGTACTGAACAATGAAAAGTGGCTCAAAATATATACCTGTAAAATTTTCCTCGTGTGGAAATAAAAGGTTTCTATGAAAAATTATTTCAAATGTTGACATTTAATAACTGCTGACTAGTAGGTCTTTGGTTGTGTCTCATCCTAAATTCTGTATTTACACAGCTTTGGAATTCATTCAGTGGGCACTCCAGTAAGGGCAAAGTGTGCGATGTGCTCAGACACTTCCCTTACCAGTAACAGTCAGACTCCAGTCACTGAGCTCTGGAGCCCACAGGATCAGAATGGAATCACCATGCAGCTCTGCTTACTACACAAACAACTGAGGATTTAAAATTAGATGCCTATAGCTAAGGGCTGATTCTATATAACCTTAATTGCGCCAAAACTCAGAAAAATATGCCACGATCATAACCAGTGCAGACTCTATTTTTCATTTCATTCCTTTCACAATTATGGTAGTGAAATAATACAAATAAAGGAATGACACTAAAACCAGTTGAATTAATAAAATTTGACCTCCTGAAACAGTACCACAGTACCAACTATTTCTATTCCTCTCCTTCTCTAGTGACTTCTTAACTTCTCTAGTCCATCCAAATCGCACCTCCCAACGTATCCCAAAGTTGTCCTCATGTTCCCCAACTAAAGTGAGAACCTTTTCTATACTGAAACAGCATCCTTCCATTTCAGCTGCTCTAAAAAACACTCCAGCACTAAATTATCTTAGGCATACAGAGCTCTCAATCAAATATTGCAATAATGGGTCTACCAATTACTAAAGGCAATGCTACTATAGTAGTAGGCAAGTGACTAATTTAGTGTCATTAGGAAATCAAGTTAAAAGATGTAATTATTTGAAATAAACAGATTTAGCTGCTGCACCACAAAGAACATACCTTACACTGAACTGAAAGAGAAATATAGTACCTGATTTTATTAGCAATACAACCCAAAGTAATCTGAGCAGACCAAGAAAGGTCAAGGAATTAAAATTAAGATGCCAGCATAAAACAGAATTATTTTTAAACAATAACAAAAGAAACACTTTGTTAAAAAAGTTAAAAACTGCAAAAGATAAAATAGATTAAATTCTTCTTATTAGTATTTTTTAGCATAACATTTTGAGTGGAAAGACACGCCTGATCAAATAAACTCCTAATTAAACTCTTCAAAATACTGTAAGATTATTTTCCTTGGGTAAAGAAACTGAGCTGTTTGATTCAATGAAATCATCCAAATGAAAGCAATCCATCTTTTCGAAGAATATCTCACCAAAGGTTTACCCTTCACAGCAATTTTAATGCCTGTCCTCTGAAAAGAGCAATGCTCTGAATAAATGAAACCAAAAGATTAGCAATGTCCTTTTTTGTCTTTTAGTTCAAGACTTACTATCTGTGGAGGTTAGAGAAAAAGCCCACAGTATTAAGGCATATCCCATTTCACTTATTTCAGTTATTTCATTAACTTCTGATTTTTCATTTAATAGTTGGAAAAGACAAAATCCTACCTGTCTTGCTTATCGTTTTAAAAATTCAAAGAAAACATTACAAGAGTCCATAGATAGAAGCAGTGGTGGGCCTCACATGCAAACAGCTATCAAATCAGGAAACACCCAACACCCAACATTCCTGTCTAATCTAATTTGTAGTGATCTAAGCTGCCAGTTTCTACAATACCCCATAAAATATGTATCATTTTATAATATAGAATGCAAGAAACAAAACAAAATTAATAAAGAAGGTTAAAGAAAGCCTTGGAAAAAAAATAGGAGAACTAGAGCATACACTTCCATAGTCAAGGGAAAGCTAAATAAAAAATTGGTTTCTTTCAGCCATTGTGTTTTGTGTCACAAAATTATCCATATAAGCTGTGCAGTGTTCTGCTATTACAGAGTGGAAACTTGCATATTGGCATAGGGAATTAAAAGAATCATGACTTAAAGCGAAAAAAAACAAAACAAAAACAAAAAAAAAAAAAAAAAAAAAAAAAACACAAAAAAGACAAAATGACACAGACACAGATAGCGGGAGACACAAGACAAAAAAGGGAAAACAAAACACACTAAAAAAAAAAAACAGCATTAAAGAACACTGTCCAAAATGGAAAGAAAATATGCTGAGGAAAAATGTGATCAACAATGGGCTCAAACTTAAAAGTAGGAGAAAAAAGACTGAAGTAGCAGTCTCCCTTTTGAACTTGGAAAAGCTAGAAGTGAATGCTTACATCTTGTATATTTGTTTATAAGCAACAGGACAAAAATATGAAACACGTAAAATGAAGAAGATTAGATAATGCATTGACTAAAAGATTTTGTATATTCTCAGAAAAGTAAATTCTATACATGAGACAAATGAAAGACATCTGTAAAGAACAAATAAAGCCTAGGATGAACACTACAGTCGTTGAAAGGAAACGATGTTTGCAAAAGGAAACAAAGCAGCAAAGCAAAGCTGCAAAGGAAACAGTCCCTTTGGCATCACTAACAGGTGACACAAGTTGACATGGTAGCTTCCAGGTGAGAAAGCACAATGGTGAACAGGACAGACCAGGTACCCACCCACATGACCCAAAACCACTACTGTCTACCCAAAACCACAGCTGTCACCAAACCTCACTGTTGTTTCACTGTTTAGCTTTAAACCGGTTAATCCAAAGAGTGCAATATAATCAAAAGAAGGCATAATGTTCCTTTGGAGAAGTTTTGCTTTGCCACTTGGATGAAAAAACCAAACATGATTGATCCAGAATTTGTAAACCAACCAAAACGGGAGAGGTGATTCCTGAAAGTCAGAAGTACATGCTCCTCATGAGCTTTTTTCTGGAGTGATCCTAGAGGATAAACATGTATACTGTCACTTATTAAT